GGTCAGCACACATGCATGTGGAAACACGGTGGTGCGTACTGGTGATAGTGGTGATGATAATGCAGAGGTAAAATCTGTCTCCAGCCCTTCCTCTGGCAATTTTGTACCCAATTAACTGAAAACATTAAACCATTACATTAACAGATCACACACTATTGTGTGTAATTGAAAGAGTAAGATTCTTTTGAATCAAAGTTTCAGAAAAGGAGTGAATGGTACATTCTGAGCAATAACCTAGTTTTTAGAATGATTGTGCCTTTTTACATCAACGGGGAGAATGAAGTCAGTTCCTTTGAAAATAAATAAATAAATAGGGTTTTATGACTCAGCTAAAGAAAATGTGGTGTCCTTGGTGATGCTTGAACTTAGCATAAACTGCCAAGCAAGTTACGTGTATACTCTTAAACAATTTTATATTAAAAGAATGAACAAAGTCTTTCATTATTACTTATATCTCTTCCCCAGCCATGCCTCTTGCAAGGATAGCGGAACCTGTTGTATTTTACTCACCTGCAAACCCTATTGCTGGGTCCTAAAACTGTGAAGTCATGATTTATATAAAAAGGGACAAATTTTAGTAAAAGTGAGATACGGTCCCTCTATTTTTCTGCTGTTTCCAATGAACATATTTTTCCCATAGATTACCAATCAAATAACTACATAGTTCTCTGATTAATTCTGCTAAAAAAGCAAAAGGAGAAGATCTATTTCCTGCATGGTATAGATAACTTAGTTTGTCTAGCTGTGAGACCGTCTGTGACCGTAGTCCCTGCAAAGCTTACCCTCATGCCTACAGCGGAAATAGCCGGTAAATCCACATTCAAAGGCAAAACTCCTTTGCTCCCATTTCATCTTTAGCCTGATCCTTACGTTTGCTTCTCAGTGGAGCAGCAAACCCACTGTTAAAGCTCAAAAAGGGACTTCTTTGATCCTGGAAAAGAGAGAGAATAAACTGTCCTTCAAAAAACAGTATTAAATGAGCTTTGTAAAGTTGTACTCAATTGAAATGCATGGGGGACAGCCACTCGGGTCTGAGCTGTGCTTTAGTTACGGCCAGCCACTCGCCGCGGGACTCTTTAAAGTGGTTTTGTTTTGCTAAACTGGCATGCGTAGCCTCAGTCCCTCCCAGGAGGCTTGCTGCGCCTGTAAGGTGTGTAGCTGTTCCTTCCCCTGCCTTTATCGTGCACACTCTTCCTCAGACTGGGGAGCCCGATCACTGCCGCCATCTTCAGAGGCTGCTTTTGGAAAATGCAGTGAAAATCAGTGATGTTCCCCTACAGCTCTGTTCTAGGGAAGGGGGAATGGGTGTTCTGTTGTTGGTTTTGCTTAACGATTAAAGAAGAGCAGATAGAGAAAGCTTAACAAAGTCTACATTAATTCACAATCGTTCGAGCAGCCTAAAAGCAATTCCATCTTTTGAACAATCATTTGTAAGGTGATTCTCTGTTCCTCTGTACCAGCAACAAGGAGTGGAAATCAGTTCACTCACTCTACTAAATATTGCTAACCAGTTACGCTGGCCTTTAGATGGCATATGTGACCTGGGAGATAGCAGCTGGGTATCTGGCAGTCAACACTGAGAAAGTTTGTAGAACTAAATGAAATAACGTTTTGGGTGTTTTGAGTTGTTGTATCTAAGGCCTGCTCTGACTAGGTCTTTTTGCATAACTCCCATTGAAACTAATGGAAGCCACATGCACAGGAGAGAAAAATGGGCTCATAAAGAAATTTTCCTCATCTTAACGCTGTCTTACTAGTGTTCTCCTTCTTCTCCAGGCACCTTAACAATGAACATGCATTGGATGACAGAAGCACTGCTCAGTGTCGGGTGCAAATGCAAGTGGTTCAGAAGGTTTGTTACATGGATGTATTACCCTATTAACTATTTACTATTAACCTAAACTAAATTGAAAACACTTGCCTTAGTGACTCTAGCGTAAAGCCATATGTTTCTTGCATGAAATTTGTTGATATTCATGAACAAGTGGGGTTTTTTTACTTAAAGATTTTTCACATTATAAATTACGCAGTAATTATCTAACATCAGCAATGTCTACAGTATTTTGCTTGAACTAAGACCGTAATGCCATTCATCACGAATGAAACATGCAGTCCCTGGAGCAGAGGCTGGATCCAAGCCGTCTTCAGTTCTTGAAATGCTGGGTCAGGACCCCTCTTCTGTCTTCCCCTTCTGACCCGACGCTTGTCTATGCCGTTCTGCAGGACAAAGGAGTAGCTGAGTGCATCTCCACCCAGAATGACTCCCAGCCTGATGGTGGGCATTTTTCTGCGAGCAGAAGGTGTAATGTCCGACCCAGTCAGGGAGGTCCCCGGGGAGTCCCTCGGCTGGGACCGCAGCACTCGGGTGCCCTGTTCAGGCTCTAACCGTTAGAGGTCACTGCATGTATGCGAACACTCCCTCCAGCTTACGGAAGAAGTACCGAGTACCCCTGGGGTCTCCCAGCATTGAGACCGGCTGCTGAGGCTGGGCGCAAACCTTGGCAGCCCAGGATGACCCTGCAGGATGCTTTATACACCATGTGGTCCCCTCCTGCCTGTGCGGGAGTCCTAGGAGGGCATTTCTCAGGAGTCCCATCCCCTCTTGGGAAGGTGCAGAGGAGCCCAAGGGAGGCAGCAAGGGACTGAGATTTTCCCCCCTCCCCATTTGCTGCCATATGTGGAGAAAAAAAGGATAAACACCTTTCAGCTTTCTCACTTTTGGCATATTGTCTCTGTTCTCACGCATGTAAGAATACTTGTTCTTTCAGCCCAGGCAAACTGTTTGGGTCTTTTGTATTTTAATACTGGCAACCCAAAGCAATGAGAGGAGTGTACAGTAATGTCATTTATTGTCATGAGCTTAAAATGAAAGCTTTATAAACCCAGGCAAAGCTGCAGTTTCTTTTATGAGATTTACAGGACAGTGTTAGCTTAATTTGTTGGTTAGGAATTTACGTCATGGCAAATAGCATGTCTCTAAAGTGTCACGCACATAATATGAAGCCTAAGAAGAAACCTTTTTCTCATCCCCTGCCTCAAATATTCTTTAATGAAAGACCCGCTGACCAAATTATATCCAGCATACCCGAAATATCTGCAGTAGCATGGGTAGTTTCCTCTTCTTAAAATTACTTACAAATTTCCTTAGTCCAATCTCAGTCTACAGATGTAACTCTTGAGCTGCGTTCATGCAAGAAAGCATTACAGAACTCTCTGGAAAACGGCAGCATTAAACACCAGGTGATTCTTGTTGCAATTAGTGTTGTAACTGTGTTGTGGCTATCCAAAGCCATACCACTAGAATACAATTTCGAGCATTTCTTCTTGCAGCCTAGCTTTAAAAAAAATATTTTTTTTCATGTTGTAAGAGACCTTTTCCCCTTTAAGTTCTGATATTTTTATCAACAAGTTACATATTTCAAACACTTTGTCTTCTTTTATTTTTTTTGAATTTGGTAATTCGTTTGAGTCTGAAACTACAAATATTTACATAGCATACCATCAGAAAAGGTATCAGTTAGGAAAAAGTACAGGTTTCAGTAAGGTGATGTTTTCTAAAGGCAGTCTACGGGCTTCTTAAGAACTGTTTACCATTTACAAAGACTAGGCTGTAATGTAACAGTCCAAGTGAAGATTTAGCTTGCAGTGTGACCAATTATGCCATTTTTTGCTTTGTCTGACTGCTAGTGAAGTAAGGTCCATCAGTTGTAATGAGACCCAGTGCAGTGTCGATGCCGACTCGGTGGCAGAGTTCAGCGTTTCACACTGCCTGGGCTCTGTCACTCTATTGAATTAGATTGATGATGGCAGATTGCAGGGGGCACTAACTGGACCTCAGTGGGAAAGGATGAAGTGTGTAGACAATCCTGGCAGGCACTGTGCTTTGAGGACCCTTCACCCCTTCACAGCTGTTGGCACTAGTCCATTGCTAACAGTGTCCACAGGACTTTAAAGAGACACTATGGGCCTTCTAATTTATGGTCTTAGTAACTTGTTACTGTCGAGGCAACTGTGACCTCAATTCTCTTATTGACAAAAAGATGAAGTGTTATTTGTTTTCTCTGACCTTTTAACATATGAAAGGCTATAAAAGTTTTTTGGTTTTTTTTTTCTTTCTTTCTTTCCATGCCCAAAGTTGCATTTCCTCTCAGATAAGTTTCTACTGACACAGACTTTTATATGCAGGAATCATTACACCGAGACAAGCTCAATGATAAGATGTATCACTGCAGTAAAATAGCTGTATCAGTCATTTCTAAAATGCTTCTGATCTCACCCTTTCTTAACAGCTTTCTAAAGAACGCGAACGTCTTCAAGCAATGATGACCCACTTGCACATGCGACCCTCGGAGCCCAAGCCATCTCCAAAACCTGTAAGTGCATATTGCTTTATAAACAGTAAATAGGTCTACGAATGTAGCAGACTAAGAAAATGAACAATTTAGTGACAGTTGGAAAACAATGAGTGTGATGAAAAATATGGCAATAAAATGAAGGTAAAACGCAATAGCTTGTCAAATTGTATGTTTCTTTAAAAGTAATGGTATCTTTTACAAAATCTATCCAATCTACACCATAGGTGACACTAAACAAAGTACACCTATAAGTGTCCAAATCATTGCCTTGAGACTGAAACTAGAGAGAATATCTTTTTGTGATAGATTTACAGATATTAAAAGGAAACCCACTTTGAAAGATTTGAAGTTCAGTGGACTCTGTGGCAGTAAAAAGTAAACGTAAAAAGAATCTAGGTACTTAGGAAATTTCTTAAATTTCTTACAAGAGACGCAAATAAACAGTTTGTTGTTCGTAAACGAACGAAAATGCTATTTTATGCAGCGAATTTAAACAATTGTGAACATGGGGGTTTTGCTCAGTCTCTGTCAAGACTGCAGTGTTACGCATCCACCGTGATGCTGTTGGGGTTGGTACAGGCAGTGAAGAGTCCCTGTTGCTCCCAGCCGCTCCGCGGCGCTGCCTCAGGCCCCGGCTGTGCACCCGGGTCTGCGGTCAGATCCAGACTCTATTAAAATGAACGTGGCTTCACGTAAGCAAAAGTATTGTCTGATGCAGGTCCAGTTTTGTACTGTCAGGGTGTCAGGCATCATAGTACTTACAATATACTATGCTTAGATACACTGCACTTAGAGCAGAGGCTGTGTGATACGTTAACTGTTCATTAATGTTAACTGTGACGGTAACCTTTGTACGTACAATATGAAAAGGATATTCCAGTACTTGAAGATGAAATGCTGGGGTATCGATGAAAATCTGTGTCTATCAAAGTCAGGAAATGTAGACAGAAGGAACATAATCTGTTTTAAAGAGCACACTTGCATATCACGCCCAGTTAATGTCTACGTAAAAGGACAGCATGCTCTGTCTCTTGTGTTTTCAGCTCCACGTACTTCAAAGAAAATCTTTGTTTGAGGGCACACTTTATAACCTGATGATGAATGAAGAAAGTGTTAGCGTTTCCTTAACCCCTACCTTTGTGAAAGAAAATTTAGATGCATTATTTTTGCTTTCACTAGGCTAACTAAATTCTAATTTTTGTAGTGGATTATCTACTAGGGAAAG